GTAGTAGTAGTCGTAGTCGTAGTAGTAGTAGTAGTAGTAGTAGTAGTAGTAGTAGTAGTAGTAGTAGTAGTAGTAGTAGTAGTGATGGTAGTAGTAATAGTACTAGTAATAGTAGTAGTAGTAGTAGTAGTAGTAGTAGTAGTAGTAGTAGTAGTAGTAGTAGTGGTGGTAATAGTATTATTAGTACTATTATTAGTAGTAGTAGTAGTAGTAGTATTATTAGTAGTATTAGTAATACTATTCGTATTAATATTAGTATTATTATTGCTAGTATCATTAATAATAGTGGTACCATTATTATTAGTAGCAGTAATATTAGCTTTATTATTAGTCTTAGTATTATTGGTAGTCGTATCAGCATTAGTAGTATTAGTATTATTAGTATTATTATTACTAGTATTACTAGTATTACTAGTATTACTAGTATTTCTAGTATTCGTATTAACAATAAAAACATTATTATCATTCGTATGATTAGTAGTAGTAGTGATATTGTTGTTGTTAGTAATAGCATTATTATTACGAGTAGTAGTATTAGTATGAGTATCAATAATAGTAGTAGTAGTAGTAGTAGTAGTGGTGGTATTAGTATTCGTAATAATATTAATATTATTATTAGTAGTAGTAGTATTAGTATTACTACCACTACTACTACTAACAATAATAGTATTATTAGTAGTATTACTATTCGTTTTGTTATTCTTACTCTCATAATTAGTATTAGTACTAGCATGAGTAGTTTTATTCGTACTCGTCTTATTAATAGTATTATTAGTGGTGTTATTATTATGCTTATTTTTCTTAGTTTTATTACTAATATTCACATTATTCTCGTTAGTCGTAGTATGATTCGTAGTATTGGTGTTATCCGTATTCGTCTCATTAGTCATCGTATTATTATTCTCAGTGTTATTCTTATTCTGAATATTATTAGTAGTTGTAGTACTAATATGAGTAGTGTTCGTTTTGTTCTTCGTAGTTTTACTCGTCTTCTTCTTTTTCGCAGTCGCATTATTATTCTTAATATTATGCATATTATGATTATTATTATCATTATTATTATTATTCGTCTTAGTATTTTTCGTCTTATTATTCTTATTAGTATTTTTATTACTCCTCCTCCTCATCATCATTATCCTCCTCCTCCTCCTCCTCCTCCTCCTCCTCATCCTCCTATGCTATACAATTCCCCCCTGGCTTTCGGGTCATGACTCGGCTCTCCGGTGGCCGTTCGGGACGACCCGGGTACCTCTGGAACGCCCTCGGCGAGGCGCAGCCGCTGAAGAGCACCCCGAGGCTGCGAAACCGCCGAGAACCGACGAAAACGTCCCAACACCGCCAAGGAACCTGCGAAGATCTCGAGGCCGACGATATCCCCCAGGCGTTGCGCCCCTGATCCTTCGTGTACCGCAGCCACTGGTCGCACCGCTCGAAGGCGGGCCGCCCGTTCACCGCCTCCCGGCTCTGCACGAAGACGCCCACCAGGCGCCGCGTGGAGAGCGTCCCCGCCGCACCCGAGCCTAGAGTTATGTCGGGCGTGTCCCCCTACGGGGGGATTTTCGACGAGAAATAAAAAGTACCCCCAAAATTGCCCCCCCCCCCAAAAAAAACAAAAAATACTGAAAAAATAGTCCCCTGACTATTTTGTGACTATTTTTTGATTGTTTGGGGAGTATTTTTCACTTTTCGTCGAACATCCCCCTGAAGGGGGACAGGCCCGACGTAAGCCTCGAGGAGCAAAAACTGCAGAAACCGAAACTGTCGGAGCTCCGCGCGGACTGATTGCATCTGCGCTGAAGCCCCCCCCCCACTGGCGCGCGGAGGGCCAGGGGCAGCGCCAGAGACGCCGCCAGGGGGGCCCGCGCAAATCCAGGACATCCGCGCGGAACTCAGAGATTGTATGCCTGTGCGAAATGTCTTCCTCTGGAGGAGCCCCCGTCCCGGAGCACGAAGCTGGCCCTCTCGCGCCGGATGATGGCCAGCAGCGTGGGCGCGTGCTCGTCCTGCAGGGCCTGCGACCTCTGCGCCAGGGACGCCACGCGGCGCTCCCGCTCGAGGCGGATGGGCTCCTTCGCCTCCTCTGGAGGAATCGAAGAACGGCAAGGGCATGAACTTTCGAAGCGCCGCGCCACCCCTGGCGGCGCCTCTAGCGCGCGCCCCTGGCGCGCTCCGCGGGCCAGGGGGGAGGGGCTCCGGCGCCGATCCAAGAAATCCGCGCGGAGCTCCGAAAGCTTAATTGTAAGTCGGGCATGTCCTCCTACAGGCGGATTTTGAAGGACTCATTAAAAATAGTCCGAGAATATTCAAAAACAGTCCAGCTTCGTTATGCTCGTCCCGTTTTCCTTCTTCGATCCTCGGCGCTGTGCCACTTTCTGCCGTCCGGCGCCGTGATCGTCACCAGCTGGCCCCGGCGCGAGTTCCGCACGACGAGTCCCCAGTCCGGGAAGAGCCCGAGCGTGTGGCGCACCTTCGCCTCGTACTTCGTGGACTCCGAGGCCAGCGCCGAGCGCGGGGTGCCGCCGCCGCCGCCGTGGCGCAGCCGCTGCGGCCAGAACTCCTGGTAGAGGCGCAGGCACTCGGCGCGGAGGCCCTTCTCCTCCTGGCAGGCTCGGTCGGAGCCGAGTCGGGGCATCGGGCCGCATCGAAGCGCGCGTCGGGTCGGGCCGCCTCAGCGTGAAGTCGAGGCCGAATCGGATCGGCTGCGCCAAGGTGTACGACCACACCGTGCCAGCATCGGGCCAAACGCCGGGATAGTCACCGAAATCGAGTCGGATCGAGCCGGGCGATCTCGGCATCGAGTTGGACCCGTCGGATCGAAACGGGCCCCGCCTGGTCCGTCACGACGAGCGCCACGATGCCCGCGTACCGGGGGCTGGCCATGGCCTCGAAGGACTTCTCGTCCTCCTCGAACAGGGCGCACAGCACCTTCTCGAGCTCCACGGCTGGGGCCTCGGCCACCTTCGAGAGAGGAAGAATGGCATGAGCATTGACTTTCAGAGCTCCGCGCGGACTTCTTGGAACGGCGCCGGAGCTCCTGGCCAGGGGGGGGGGACCCAGCGCCGATGCGAGAAATCCGAGCGGAGCTCCGCGACGTGATATGGATGTTGTCATGTTTTTTTTTTTTCTTTGACACCCTCTTCTCCCTCTGCAGGAACTGCCGGAACCGGGCCGCGAGGTCCCAGATCTCCGTGTGTTCCTCCTGGCTGGCGTCCTGCAGCGCGGCGAGCTTCTTCTGCACCGCGGCCATCTGCTGCGCGGACACCTGGAGCACAAAAAGTCCCCATCCTCCTCGCTCCTTGCCCTCATCCACGCAGAGCGGGCGGTGCGTGGGCTGAGCTGGACACACGCACAGAAGACTGCTCTTGAAGCTACCAGAAAATTCCCCACCGCATGCTGGCATTGACACCGAGGATGCCGCGGCGCGTGCTGAGCTGCGGTCTGGGAAGAGAATACAGTGGGGGCCCGACCACAACGAAGTCTTCCACAGGAAACCCAACCCTGAGACCCCAGGGCGTCCATTGGCTTTTGGTGTGGGCACGTCACGCTCTCCATCGCCAAACCATCGAAACCCAAGCAACCAAGGGCACCCTGGAGGCAAGCAAGCAGGATGTTTCTTGGCATGGGTCTCCGCTGTACTCCATGGGTGGGGGGAGGGGGCGTGCGAGGACCCACGTCGATCGGCAAAACAATGAATGAGAAAAAGATCACCATGCTTTGCCTCCCAGTCGGTGGAGGAGGGGGAGCAGGAGGGGGAGGAGGAGGAGGAGGAGGAGGAGGAGGAGGAGGAGGAGGAGTAGGAGGCGGAGGAGAGGAGGGAGGAGGGAGGAGGTGAGGATGAGAGGAGGAGAGAGAGGAGGAGGAGGAGGTGAGGAGGAGGAGGAGGAGGAGGAGGAGGAGAGAGGAGGAGGAGGAGGAGGAGGAGGAGACAAGCAGGGTGCGTGTTGGCAGGGGTCCCCAACTGCAAGCGGGGCCTCCCGCGGCGTTCCGAGCCCCCCCCCGCGTGGGCGGACCGCTCTCCGACCAGGGCGCTCGAGAGAGGCGGGGGAGGCGGCGGCGGCGAGGCGCCCCCGGGGGGGGGGGGGGGGTCACCCGACACCCGACAGGCGGCGTCTGCCTCCTCCGACCTGCGCGGCGGCCTTCAGGCCCGCCTCTCTGCAGTCTCCTCCTCGGCTGCCGGTTGCCCTGCTTGGCTTTTGCACAATTTATTCCACCCCGGGGTGGCCTCGCGGCGGCTCCAGGGTGGTCTCTTCTTAACCCCATTTGACTTTTCTCGGCCTCCGGCCGAGGGCGTCTACAGCGTAGGCACCGTGTCGCCATCAACAGCAACAGCAACAAGCAACTCGAAGGATGACAGAAGCATGGAAACTCGGAGGTCGCGGGTGCTCCCGATGAGGACTCTGTGGGGCCCTCGGGCCCAAGTCTCCTCGGCTGCCGGTTGCCCTGCTTGGCTTTTGCACAATTTATTCCACCCCGGGGTGGCCTCGCGGCGGCTCCAGGGTGGTCTCTTCTTAACCCCATTTGACTTTTCTCGGCCTCCGGCCGAGGGCGTCTACAGCGTAGGCACCGTGTCGCCATCAACAGCAACAGCAACAAGCAACTCGAAGGATGACAGAAGCATGGAAACTCGGAGGTCGCGGGTGCTCCCGATGAGGACTCTGTGGGGCCCTCGGGCCCAAGAGCCGCCCACGGCGGCAGCACAGCCGAAAGCCGACCAGCCCGGCAACGAAGCCGAGGCCCCATCGACAGACGGGATACGCCTGGGCTGGATCGAACTCGGCAGGGGGGGAACATGCGAAGGAGAAGGCCTTCTCAAAGGCGGCACTTCTCACAAGCCCTCCCGCCTTCTGAGAAGTTTATACTCTGTCTTCGGGGGAGGCTCAGAAATCTGCTCAGAAGGCCGGGGGACTTCCGAACCTTCTGACTGGGAAGGGCTTCTCCTTCTCACGCCCCTCCCCCCTCGCTCGCCGCCGACTCTCGGCCACCAGGGATTTCCCCAGGGACCTCTGACCCCACGTCGCCATCTGACGGCCGAAAGCTGCGGGAAGCCTCGGGACCCTGCGGCACGGACCGAGGAGCCCGTGCGACGACGACCGACGGCGTCTTCCTTCTCGTCGCCATCGACGTCGTCGTGGACGTCGTCGTGGCTATCGTCATTATCGACGTCGACGTGGACGTCGTCTTCGTCGTCGTCGTCGTCGTCCGTCGCCGACCCGTTCGCCGACCGCGGGCAACCTGCGCAGCGGCCTTCCTCCCGCCCTTCTTGGCCTTCCTGGCCGCCCGGGGCGGCGCCGCCACGCACACGACGTCCTCCTCTGGAGAGGGAGAAGACAGGGACCAGGAGGAGGAGGAGGAGGAGGAGGAGGAGGAGGAGGGGGATGATGATGAGGAGGAGGAGGAGGAGGAGGAGGAGAAGTAGGGGGAGGAGGAGGAGGAGGAGGAGGAGGAGGAGGAGGAGGAGGAGGAGGAGGAGGAGGAGGAGGAGCAGACCAGACGCGGAAACGTCGTGTCGATCTTGGCCGCCGTCGCCCTTGGTCGGCAACCACTCGTGGGTCATCCTCGCGAAGCGGCGACGGCCGACATGGACCATGACACCATGACCAGGGCTGGCATCGACGAGATTCGAGGCCTCGTGGATGGGAGCCGAGCAGATGGGGTCGGAGGATCGCGCCGCATCGCCGATGCATCGGCGTCGGCGGCGGTGCGTCGGCGACCTCAGCGCGAAGAAGATCGGGCTCCACAGCGAGCCGCATCGGCGATACATCGGCGGTGCGGCGTGATCCTCCAACCCCATGTGCTCGGACCCCATCTGGCAGACCTGGAGAGATCCTGCGCCAGGTGAGCGTTTTCTTTTTCGGCGTTTAGGCATTTGTCGGAGGGGGGGGGGTCTGCATCCAGACCTCTGCTCAGTGCGACTGCTTGCGACTGTGCGTCCCATGCACCTGCCTGAAACAGGCGCCAAAAACAGCCAGGATCTACTCCACGGGGGGGGGAGGGAGGGGTGCATGGTACTTTCTTGGAGCTACCGTGCACAGTCTTCCGTGCTGAGGCCATTGCCCTGGGCGAGGCCTCCAGAGCAGCCCAGTCCATTCTCACCCAGTAGATCACGAAAAGCCGAAACTGTAAGTGTCCTGAGCTTGGACGAAAGAAAGAAAGAAAAGGGCCCGCGCCGACAGGCAAAACGATGAGAAGACGATCACCATCCTGGTCAGTGCGACTGCTTGCGACTGTGCGTCCTGTGCACCTGCCTGAAACGGGCGCCAAGAACAGCCAGGGTCTACTCCATTGGGGGGGGGAGGGGGGGGGATTGCGAGGGCCCGCGCCGACAGGCAAAACGATAAGAAGACGATCACCACCATTAGGGGGCAAACAAACCTACCTCGCATTTGACCACCCTCGCTTCCAAAAGATACCAAGCGATGCCAAACTACGGCCTGTACTGGTCAGGCCGCTTGATGAGGAGGCGCGTGGTATGACTTGGTTTTGCGTGGAAGCGAAAGCGGGGTAGGTAATTCATGCTATGAATCATGGTCCCCGCGTTTCTTCCCCAGAGCCTCCGCGCCCGGCCCGCCCGCGGCGCTGCCGGCGGCGGCGCGCTCGGCGCCCGAGACGGCCGCCTCGGCCTCGGCCCGGGCGGCAAGGCGGCGAGGCCGCCGCGGGAGGGGCCCGAGGAGCCGCCGCGGCGACGACGACGACGACGACGACGACGACGACGACGACGACGACGACGACGACGACGACGACGACGACGGCGACGACGACGACGACGACGACGACGACGATGCCGCCGTTGGCGGCAGCAGCAGCGGCCGCGGCGGCGGCGGCGGCAGCGGCCGCGACGAGGGCGGCCGGCCTGCTCGCAGCGGCACCGGGGCCCCCGGCCCGAGCTGGGGCGGGAACGCCCCGTGTGCTTCGGGATCTCAGGGGCCCCCTCTGCGGTTTCACGCTTTCACAGGTGCGCGCTGCAGGTGGCAAGCTCTGAGGGTGCCCCATTTTGCGGCCGAGCGGAAGCACAGACAGAGACCGAATCTCCGACGATGTGATATGTTTTCAGTCGGGGTGTGTTTCTTCGATTTCTGCTTCTGGGGAACGAAAACCAGCCCCCAGAACGGATCTGGACCCTTGGGGATCCGCGTCGTGAGAAAAAACCACGGCGTCAGAGATCTGGGTCTTCGGGCCCCTCGTGGGGGCACTCGTCGACACGGCCAGATCCGCTTCGGGATGCGGGCTAAGACAAGCCCGGGGAGAGAGTCGAGGCCCCAGCATTGACGCATGAGGGAGAGGGTGACGATGAAGACGATGGCGTAGAGAATATTAAACGAAGGGTAGAAACAATGCTTCTATGTGAAGCGGATGTAGAGCAAGGTGTCTGAAACGATTGTAAAATGGGCGCGGCAAGGTACCCTGAGCCTGAGCCAAACGCCCACGGGCAAACCCCGCTGCCCCGCATGTTGCGTGTACTGATCATATACCGTTCGAGTCTGGTGCTCAAGCGGATACGGCGTGCATCATTGGCGGTCCGGACGCAAACCGGCAAGACCACCAACGAGACACAACGAACTGATTAAACAGCGGCAGCACATCACTGGGCAAAGAAGGGGTTCTACGAACCACCTTTCTACAGAATGCGGCATTGAGGCGCACTGCGAAATTGATCTTCTGCTAACCAAATCCCTCGTAACAAGTTACGGCCACGGCCTCGCATCAAAAAATGGCAACCGACTACTGGTGGAGAACAGAATAGACGATTCAGGTGCTCAACGCGCAACAATATGCTGCCCCGCATATACAGTTCATGGAGACAGCCCTTCAATGGCGTGGCTCACCACGTCGCATTCGCGAACATAGTTCGGACATGCGGTTCATTTCGTATTCCTATTCCTGATGCACTGCGTCGCATTCGCGAACACAGGTCAGACATGCGACGCCGACTTGATCACCCGTCGCCGTCTTTGCTGAGGTTGCTGTAGCTGGAGCGCGGCTCCGTCTTCTGGCGACGCTCCTCCCTCAACCTCACCGCGGGGTCACATAGGCGAGTTCCCCCTCCCCGATGTCGAGGATGAGCTCCCTGCCGACGCCCCCCTGCGCCAGGGGGTCGGCCATTATGCCGCGGGCGTCGCACCACAGCGCGTCGGATAGCTGTTTGGCGCGCAGCTGGTGTGAAAGCCAGCACAGGCGGCCTGCCACGCCACTCTCCGACGGCGACCGCACGCGGTTGATTGCCAGCGCGGAGAAGACGGACACGCTGTCCACAACAAGCTCGGCAGGCACAGCGCCCCCCCCCTCCCCCAGCCCCCCGACCTCGCCTGCTGAAGCGGGCCCGAAAGCCATTTCGCGGCGCGTGAAGAGGCGCGCCTGTAGACCGTCTGCTGCTCCACATGCTGCGAGCAGCTCGGGGCCGAATGAGGATCGGCACGCAACCTCGCGTTATCGGCTCAAAGCGTCGAGCAAGTGACAGATCTATTCACCACTACTGCGGCAATTGCCCATGCGCACGCACACGGCGCCTCTCGCGCCCCATCCTGGCTCCTCCTTGCGCTTGAAAGAGCCGTGGACGCGCGCAGGTCTGGCCCGCGCGCTCCATCGCCGGGAAGAAGACGACGCGCGCCCCGATCTTCTGCAAGGCCGGAACACCGGAGTCGAGCGGCAGTGCGTCTGATGAGCAGCGAGTCCTCGGCCCGTTACAGCGCGACAACGCAGTCGGAAACGCGGCGTTGCGCGAACAGCGCATCGGCGGCTGCTCCGAGGAGGGAGACAGAGATGTCCGGGAGCGGACCTCTGGCCGGCTCGTCGGCCTTCGACTTGACCAGGTCGACGCGCCCGACGGGGATCAGCGCGTCGATGTACTCGTCCTGGTCAAGCGTCACTGCGTCCTCGGCACTGCTGATTTGGGGGGCACCACAGTTGGTGGGATCATCGCAATCATCATTTTGCATCAGACGCTCACGACGTGGCCGACGAGGCGGTCGGCGCGCTCCTCGCGCTCTGCGGTCTCGAGATCGCCAACGTGCTTGGACAGCACAACCACTGACTCCGAGACGCTGGAACCACATGTGCCCGACGCCTCGCGCTTGACCTCGGGGCCCCGGCCCCACCGCGTCGGCTTGGCGCCGCACTCGGGCGACAGCGTGAACAGGGCGAGCTCCATGAAAAGACCTGGGCGCATCCTTGCAGCCCGTGCGCAGCTCGACGCAGCGCAGGCATTCGGCCCGCTCGTCGAAGGACTCGCAACCTAGGATCTGCCTGAGGATGGCCGCACTGTCGGGCGGCAGGGCGAAGTTCACCCCCCTTAATGCTTCGCCCTGCCCCTGCATCTCGGCATATGTCTTGCCCTGCAGGAACGCTTCCACGACGCCCACTGCGACGCGCACCCAGTCTGGGCGACAAGCCGCCTCTGAGGACAGAATGCGACGCCCGCTTCGCCGTTCTGGCGAACGTCTCCAGGGCTCCGGCGCCCGCCACGTGATCCTGGCGGTCTCGCCGTCCGATCCCTTCCGGCGCTTCGATTTGAACACGCGCCTGGAGCCCGCGTCGTTCCGAGCGCCATCGATGGGGGCGACGCTGGAAACACTTATGCTTGACCCAGATGGTGAGCCTCTCGAGGACGGCGGCGGCCACCTCCTTGGTCAGCCTCGACACCTCCTCTTCGGTCAGGAGACCGGCGTCGCGCATGATTACCGCGGAGTTGACGGCGGCGTAGACCTTAAGCACGGCTGCGGCGGGAACGGTGGCGACATAGTTGCCTTCGTGGCAGCTCAGGCATGCTTAGCGCACTTCAGGGTCCTAGTATAACTCCACGCGCTTTCTTCACACCCCCTCAGGCTTGGCGTGATCGTCGAAAGTGGGGCCGCGCATATAGTAGCGACACTGTGCGTGGATGTGCTGACGTTGGTGCTAAGTCTCCAGCTGCTGGGGCCACTCGCGCGGTCTGCGGCCTATGCTGGCGGCCGCGTGCTCGACGGCAGCGTAGACCACATGCTGGCCGTCGGTGCCCTCCAGCTCCTGTAGCTCCTGAGGAAGATCCACAGCGCCCTCCTGCCAAGCTGCCAACATAACCTGAAAAATGTCACCAGAGTAGTCGCTGTCGGCCTCTTCGGGCATAACCAGCAGGGCCACTGGTGAACCACACTCGGCGACGCTGGCGGCATCCTCGGGAACGTCGATGACAGGGTCACCGAAAGCCCCGTCTTGGCCCTGCCCTGCGTCGGCTGCCAGCTGTTCCTCACCCCGGACAAACTGGATGATGCGAGCGTCCTTCCACTGCTCGCCGATGAGGCTTTGGGCGTCGAACTTGACGCCGTCTAAATGCAGTTGGCGGACGTCGCTCGGGCTCCGAGGGAACCACCACATGACAAGACTGCGTTTGAAGCTCGGCCGATCGCACGCAGATTTTTGATCGCGCACGAGACGCTCGGCACGAACGTCTGGTAGCCGGAAACATATGCGAGGCAAGTGGCGCAGAGCATCGAGGACACCAGGACGTTGCCGAGCCTGCTCGGGCTGGTGCTTGCCCCGCTCGTGCCCCCAGCGGCCGAAGGTCCTGGCCCCTGAGCCTGGCGCGATGTGCTCTAGGAAGTCACCCACGCGAGCCCGAGCCAGGCCTGCTCGCGAAGCGCCAGTGCCCACGTCGTTGAAACCAGCACCGATGAAGGCCCGCACGTCCTGCAGTCTGCAGACCACCTCGGCGCTGCTGTTCTTGACCGCGCCCCTGCCTCTGGCCGGGCCCACAGAAATGACAGCGCCAGGGCCGACTCAGACTGACGCGTCTTCCGTGCTGGGACCCACGTTGACGCGCCCCCCCCCCCTCACGGCGGCGCGCGCCCCGAGGGCGCGGTTGACGCGGCCGACCCATGTAGCCTAGATCATACGCTGAAGGGCGACATGACGGAGACGGCATTGCAATCGGCTGGGTTGCGCTTCACCACTGGCAGCGGACCAGGCCCCGGCGACAGTCACCCTCGCCCTCCTCGTCTGCTTCAAGCGGAGGCAGCATGGAGGGCTGCCCGCCACGACGTTGCACGGCGCTACGCCGCCCACGCGGGCGAGACCATTGCCCGCGAAGATGGCGCGGGCAAGAATGGAGTCGAAGTTGGCGGCGATGCCTCCGCGCTCCAGCTGCCCCTCGGCGGCGCCTAGCGCGCGCCGTAGCATTGCACCACGTCGCTCTTTGAAACAAGCGCGCTGGCGTGGAGCGCGGATATCCACCTGGGCCGTCTCTTCCTCATCTCCGCTACGAAGTGCTTGGAGGACATCCTGCCTTCGTCGTCCACGAGAATCCCCATTGATCAAAACACCAAATCGCTGGATGCATGACTTGTCAACTGCTGCCAGCAACGTTGAGTCGCATGTGTCCGCGATCTCCTGACCGTCGTGCCATCTGGAGGCGCGGCAGATCAGGCGCAGTACCATGCGATCCTTGTAGTATAAGGTGACGCATCCAACGTGCTGGTTAAACCGCGTCGGAAGGCGTAGTGCGAGAATGGTTTGGCGGGCTGGTGGTAGCCACTTACGGCATGACCAACAGTCGCTGACCACTGCGGGGATGAGGTCAGGGCTTGCCAGCGGCCTGTCGGATGCACGCAGTGCTCGTGGCATCTCCTCCTTGATGGCGCGCCACCACTGGAGATGTATCTTGCGTAGTTGTCGCGTTCGTGTCTCGCGCGAGTTGCCACGAAGTGCTCGCAGTGACGCGGCGATGTCAAAGCGAGCCGAGTCTGCGAGCGTTGGGTTGCCTACAGCAGCGTCGGCACCTCGCGGTGCTGCCCGTCTCAATGCGGCGCCGGCTGCTGGACTGGCCCGTAGTCGTAGACCAGCAACGCAGTTGCCAGATCCACGGATATGAGCCCCATCGCTGGAGGATGAGCACCTGGCGCACTGGATGATGCTGGTTGTAGTCTGTCTCGTCTGCTGCTCCAAATTCGGCCCCTGTTGATCGCTGGTAAGACGCGGCCCTCCAGGTCGCGCTGGTGCTCGGGGATGTTGGCTGGCACGCAGACGCGGCCGCGTCTGAGGATCCGCGAACCTGCACTGTCTGAACTCGCGGGCGCGCGCTGGACGGTCGCGCCCTGCACTCACGGCAGCCAGGGCATTGCCCATGGATTGGGGCGCTGCGAGGGCACTGTCAGGTGGCCAGGTCTCGGGAGTGCACACGTGGCGTCGGCACGCCCTGCACGAGTAGCGCGCGCGCGCGCTCTGCGGCCATGGCACTCCTGGCGTCGCCCCCCGCGGCGCCTGGGACCACGGCTGGGAAGGCTGCCGCGCCGACATCGCATTCGAACATAATTCGCCTCACGCGGTCGTCTCAGGCGTCGGCGTAGGTCCACGATGCCCTGGACAAGCAATTCGGCCATCTTCCGCGGCCAGACCTGGGCGTCGGTGCTGTCGCGGCCCTCGCCGCGCACGTGCGCGCACTTGCTGGCGCGCACCCGAGGTTCACCGACTGCTCGAGGATCTCCTGGGCGTTGGAGACAAGGCCGGGTCTTTTTTTCAAAATACCACTGCGGCGATCTCGAAGTCCCAGTTGGCACTTGTCGAAGATGACCTTCTGCACGCCCGATGTACATAACACCTCTGGCCAAGGCGGCTAGGCGCACAGCCACGATGGGCCGGGCTGCCCGCAGGCGAAGTAGCCGCCGAGCTGCAGCTGCCGCTGTTCAATGTAGCCGCCGAACCGGCCGTGAGGCGATGCGTCCACGCAGGATCGTAGCCAAGCGCGGTAGTTGCATTCGTAGTTGAAGGTGGCCCAACGACCACGGCGGGGATGAGGTCAGGGCTTGCCAGCGGCATGTCGGCGGCACGCAGTGTTCGCGTCATCTCTTCCTGAGTGGCGCGCCACCACCGGAGAAATATCTTGAGTAGTTTTCGCGTTCGTGTCTCATGCGAGTCGCCACGAAGTGCTCGCAGTGACGCGGCGATGTCAAAGCGAGCCGAGTCTGCGGGCGCTGGGTCGCCTACAGCAGCGTCGGCAGCTCGCGGCTCTGCCCGTCTCAATGCGGCGCCAGCTGCTGGACTGGCTCGTAGTCGTGGACCAGCAACGCAGTTGCCAGATCCACTGCCATGAGCCCCAGCGCTAGAGGATGAGCAGGCTGCTGGCGCACTGGATGATGCTGTTGGTAGTGCTGTCTCGTCTGCTGCTCCAAATTCGGCTCATGTCGATCGCCGGTAAGACGCGGTCCACGTAGACGCGGCCGCATATGAAGATCCGCGAACCTGCACTTGCTGAACTCGCGGGCGCAAGCTGGATGGTCGCGTGCTGTCTCCTCGCGGCAGCCAGGGCATTGCCAACGGATTGGGGCGCTGTGAGGGCACTGGCAGGTGGCCAGGTCTCGGGAGTGCATGGGCGAATCCGATCACACGTGGCGTCGGCGCGCCTTGCACGAGTAGCGCGCGCGCTCTGCGGCCATGGCGCTCCTGGCGTCGCCCCCCGCGGCCCCTGGGACCAAGGCTGGGAAGGCTGCCGCACCGACATCGCATTCGAACATAATTCGCCTCACGCGGTCGTCTCAGGCGTCGGCGTAGGTCCAAGATGCCCTGGACAAGCAATTCGGCCATCTTCCGCGGCCAGACCTGGGCGTCGGTGCTGTCGCGGCCCTCGCCGCGCACGTGCGCGCACTTGCTGGCGCACACTCGAGGTTCACCGACTGCTCGAGGATCTCCGGGGCGTTGGAGACAAGGCTGGTGGTCTTCTCCAAATACCACCGCGACGATCTCGAAGTCCCAGTTGGCACTGGTCGAAGATGAGTTTCTGCACGCCCGATGTAGATAACACCTCTGGCCAAGGCGGCTAGGCGCACAGCCGCGATGGGTCGGGCTGCTCGCAGGCGAAGTAGCCGCCGAGCTGCAGCTGCCGCTGTTCAACGCAGCCGCAGAATCGTCCGTGAGGTGATACGTCCTCGCAGGATAGTAGCCAAGCGCGGTAGTTGCACGTATAATTGAAGGAAGCCCAACGACTCGAAGGCCAGCAGGAGGGAGCTATGATGGCCACTAGGGGCCGGTCTTGTCGGCCTTTTGCTGTTTCTCGTCGTTGAGTCACAGCCCGTGACCAAGTCGAAATTGGCACCTGCCCTGAGGAGGCGGCAACCAGCGAATTGGCTGGTCTGCGCCTCCCACCGCATATCTCCATGATGTCAGCGCCGCAATCGACGGAGGTGAGGTAGGTGAGGAGGCGGTGAATGTCAAACTCGGTGGACTGTCACGTGTGGTCCACGTAGTGAAGGTGGACTGTCACCACGATGGTGAAGCGGGTACGTGTGGTCCACGTAGTTGTAGAGCGGGATGTCGTAGTCGACGTACAGCGGTCGCGGAAGGCGCGAGGCATCACCACGCGGGCCATGGCGGCTGCGGTGCTGGAGCAAGGTGCTCTGCTGCCAAGTAGAAAGTAGAGCGATGCTTTGTTGTGAAGAGGATGTAAAGCACAACGTCTGAAACGACTGCGAAGCTTGCGCGGCAAGGTACCTTGAGCCAAACGCCCATGGTCAAAGACTGCGGCCCCGCATGCTGCATGTACTGATGATATACCGTTCGAGTGATGGTGTGATGGGGGGAGCGACGAGGGGGGAAGTGATCGAGGGCCAGGAGGACGAGGGTGAAAATGGGGGCAAGCGCGAGGATGAGCCGGAGAATGGTGTTGAGGGCGAGGGTGAGGCTAAGGTCGCTGGTGAACGTGAGGCCGACATCGAGGGAGAAGGAAACAACATTCAGGAAGGTGCTTAATCGCATAAATCGCCCATCCTTAAGTCTAAAATCCGCTGGCCACTTCTGAAGTCCCACCGGCCTTCTGGTCCGTGTCTTCATCTTCATGCTTATCATCATCCTCATGCTCCCCCTCCTCCTCCTCCTCTTCTTCATCCTCCTTTGCTTCTTCTTCTTCCTAGCATTAATATTATTATTCGTTTTAGTATAAGTATTAGTGTTAAAATTATTAGTATTAGTATGCCTCGTCTTCTTATTCTTATGAGTATTACTATTATTATTGTCAGTGTTACTCTTATGATGAGTATTAATAATAGGATTCGTAGTAGTAGTAGTAGTAGTAGTAGTAGTAGTAGTAGTAGTAGCAGTAGCAGTAGTAGTAGTAGGAGTAGGAGGAGTAGGAGTAGGAGTAGTAGTAGTAGTAGTAGCAGTAGTAGTAGTAGTAGTAGTAGTAGTAGTAGTAGTAGTAGTCGTAGTAGTAGTAATAGTAGTAGTAATAGAAGTAGTAGTAGTAGGAGGAGGAGGAGGAGTGGGAGTAGGAGTAGTAGTAGTAGTAGTAGTAGTAGTAGTAGTTGTTTTAGAAGTATTAGTATTATTATTCTTATCTGTAATATCATGATTAATCTCTTCTTATTGTTGTCTTATTACTACCAGTATGATTATTATTATTGTTGTTTTTACTCCTCTTCATCCTCCTCCTCCTCCGCCTCCTCCTCCGCCTCCTCCTCCTCCTCCGCCTCCTCCTCCTCCTCGCAGTGGGAGGGGGGACGCCGAGGAGCCGCCGCCACACGCCGCGCCTTGGGCCCGTCGGCGGGCGCGGTGCTGGCAGGCGCGGGCGCGCCCTCGGCCTCGTCCCCGCTGTCGATCACCTGGCTCCGCCGGTCCCCGCACAGACAGCAAGACAAAGTCAGGACGACGAGCATCGTTTAAGCGATGCCCATCCCCAGCGGCGTGCCCTGGGCCCCATTTGCCGATTCATCCCCCTAGATGGGGATATAGGCCGTTCCCTTTGGGTTTCGAGGGGTGTATCCCCAACTGGGTTGGTAATCTGGTGGGAGTCTCGAAGGAGATGGGGATGGGGATCGGTTAAACGATACCGAATCTGAGGTCGGGCGGCTCTGGAGGATGTCTCGGGCGTCGCAGCCTTCTCAGAGCCTTCGAGAACGCTCTGGGAGTGGTCACTGCGAGATTTGGAACGAATCGGATATGTCACTCGTTCCGCGCGCAGCATACCAATAGGACGTGAACGACGACACCAAAATCAAAAGCCGATCGAGCCGATAGCGAAACCGAACCAAACAGACCAGAAGCAACGCTAAACGCTTGCGGGACCCGGTGGCGCAGCAGCCAGCCGAAACGAACCGAACGAATGCGGCCGACCGCGAAGCAGCCGAGCCAGCCAAACCGCGGACACCCTCGATACGTTAAGCCTTGAGTCAAATCCAGGATCGGGACAACGTCACATCAAGACAAGACGGGGATCTCTGAGAGCCGGCGTATCTGGAGGATGCATCGGGCGCCTCGACCGTTTCAGAACGGTCCAGAAAGAAGAAAGAGAAACGGCACAGAGATGCACTTCCGGAGCTGCGCGCGAATCTCTTGGACCGGGGCTGGGCCCCTCCGGCGTCGCCTCTGGCCCCGCCCCTGGAGCGCTCCGCGCGCCGGGGAGGGGGGATCCATTACCAGCCTGGAACATATCCCTATCCCTATGTTGGGCATCGCCCCATCACGATGGCGATCTCAGGGATTCCCTCAGTTTCTGAGGGGGCACCCCTAAGATTGTCATCTCCTCTTGGCGTGTCAATCTTAGGGATAGGGACAGGTTCGAGGCTGTGGTGAATCCAGCGCCGATCCAGGAAGTGCGCGCGAAGCTCCGAAAGTCTATGCATTTGCAGCTTGCCTTCTTCCCTCGGGAGCGCCCCGAGGGCCTTCAGGGGCGCTCCAGGGAGGAGGCCGCAGGTGGCCACCGCCCTGGGGGCCTGCTGCCGTCCTCTTCCCTTTGCCGCGCCAGGTTGGGCTCACCGACATGGCCGCTCAGCCTCTCCTCCTCCCCCTCCAGCTCCTCCTCCTCCTCCTCCTCCTCCTCCTCCTCCTCCTCCTCCTTCTCCTCCTCCTCCATCCCGTTACCTTTTTCATACACGTACATTTATTTGATGAAACGGCCAGCTTTTAGGGCGGGCCAGGCGTTTCGCCTGAGACTTCCTCTCACCATGTATGACCCTGGAGCTTAAACATTGGCAACAGCTTCACAGATGGAGGGCGGGTGATTTTCAAAATGTGGCTCTTGCCTTAGCGCCGCGCGCATTCGTTTCAAAAAATTGCAAGAGTTTCACGGATTGAGGCCGGTTCCTCTTCAAAATGTAGCTCTCGCCTGAGCGCCGCGCACATTCGGTTTGAAAAACTGCAAGAGTGTCACGGATTCCCATGATAGACGTACCAGCAGTGGTGTTTTGGAAGGATTCGCGATTATGCGGGTGCAACAGCTACGATGATTCGGGTGTTCTGGCACGATTCCGGATCGTCGAGACGCAACAGTCCGGTTGATCCGTGGCGCAGGAATCCCGAGAACAATGGTTAGGCATGTTTCAGGGTCTTTAAACGGATGTCTTCCAACGAAGCAGGTCCCTCTATGGAGATGAACCGTTGTATGGGACCTCTGAAGAAGGAGCTTGGGGGAAGGGTTTACTCCAACACATCGTTGGTGACTCTTGGGCTTACACTGGTCCTCCTCCTCCTCCTCCTCCTCCTCCTCGTCCTCCTCCTCCTCGTCCTCCTCTTCCTCGTCCTCATCCTCCTCCTCCTCCTCCTCCTCCTCCTCCTCCTCCTCCTCCTCCTCCTCGTCCTCCTCCTCCTCCTCCTCCTCCTCCTCCTCCTCCTCCTTGGGTCTGCCCGAGGTCTGCCCAAAAAGCCCTCGCCGGCAGGTCGCCATGGGCTCCGCGGGCCTCGACCTCTCGCCCTGGCACGGGCCGGCCACGCGCTGGAAGGTCAGCGGCGCCTGCTTCTTCGGCGGCGGCGCGGCCTCCCGCGCCGCGGAGGGGAGGGGAGGGAGGAGGACCGAGGCTCGATCGAGCATGTCCTCCTCCAGCTCCTCCTCCTCCTCCTCCTCCTCCTCCTCCTCCTCCTCCTCCTCCTCCTCCTCCTCTCCTCCTCCTCCCCTCCTGCTCCTGCCTCCTCCTCCTCCTCCTCCTCCTCCTCCTCCTCCTCCTCCTCCTCCTCCTCGTCCTCCTCCTCCTCCTCCTCCTCCTCCTCCTCCTCCTCCTCCTCCTCCTCCCTCCTCCTCCTCCTCCTCCTCCTCCTCCTCCTCCTCCTCCTCCTCCTCCTCCTCCTCCTCCTCCTCCTCCTCCTCCCCCTCCTCCCTCCCCCCTCCTCGCTCCCCCTCCTCCCTCAAGGAGGACCAAGAGTCTGCAGGGGCTCGGGAGAGCGGGGCATGTGAAGAGGAGGAGGCTGGGAGGGAGCGGGGAGGGGGGGAGCGAACGAACCTGGCATGCAGGGGAGCGGGTCATGTTGAGGACAGGGATCCCGAATATCTGCTGCGCCGTCCTCGGGCCCCTTGGGGCCCCCACGGGCCCCAGGACCGTCCAGACCTCCTGCGGGACGGAGAAGGCGGTCCTCGGGGGAAAGCCCCGGGAGTCCCTCTCCGGGACCCCTCTCCTCCGCGGCGAGAGAGGAGGAAAGCGGGAGCGCACGACGGAGCCAGCGCTGGAGCCGCGCGCGCTCCGGAACCGGAGCCCGCGCGTGCCCACCGAGACAGGGCGTGGAGGTCCCGGGGAGGGGAGGGGGAGGGGGAGGGGGGGGAGGAGGAGGAGGAGGAGGAGGAGGAGGAGGAGGAGGAGGAGAGGAGGAGGAGGAGGGAGGAGGAGGGAGAGGGGAGGAGGAGGAGGAGGAGGAGGAGGAGGAGGAGGAGGAGGAGGAGGAGGAGCTGGAGGGGGGAGGAGAAGCAGGAGGAGGAGAACGCCCGCTTGCCCCGCTCGCTGGGGCCCTGAAGCGGCTGCCCGGCGCAGCAGCTGGATCGAGGGCCAAAGATCGAGGGCAGAGAGGCTCGAGAAGGGTCTCCGGAAGAGCTCTGGAGAGCCCAGGAGGCTTCTGCCTGGTCTTACCAGCCTCGGACTTATCCCTATCCCTATCCCTAAGATTGACACGCCAAAAGGCGATGACAATCTTAGGGATGCGCCCTCAAAAGATGAGGGAGTCCCTAAGATTGGCATCGTGATGAGGAGATGCCCAGCATAGGGATAGGGATATGTTCCAGGCTGGTAATGGTCTTTGCTTCAACACTCTGGGGAATCTCGACTACAGTTGAGCAAACTTCGCTGGTTGACCACAACAGCTAAGGATCTGCTGATAGCCTGTGTACCAACACAATCCCAAAGCATGGCATACGCAGGGTGTCCTGCTCAGCTCCGCTGCAGTAGCGATGGTGACAACAACGATGACGATGATGACGATCGCAACAATGACCTGTATAATTAAATGGCATAGAGTGACTGCGACGGTGGCGCGATCCGTGCGCCGTGGCCCAGCGCCGACCCCAGAAATCTGCGCGGGTTTCCGAAAGGCTGTGTATACTGTCAACAAGTGTTAGCATGATCATGTTCATTATTAGTCGTAGATTCTCAGCCGCATACTTATCACAATTATCATTCGTAGTACCCTGATTGACGTCAACACTGCGTACTCATGTGACTACAATCTCCGACAGGCTTCGCGGGGTCATGATTTTCTTCCCTGCCGCGTCGCACCCGTGTCTCCATTACCACCCCTCCTCCTCTTCCTTTCTCCCTTCACCCGCGCGCAACACATGCACGGCACGTACATGAGACACCACGCAACACATGCGCGACAATAAGAGGCGCGGCGCGGCACTTTCTCGACACCAGGGGGGGCGCAGGAGGTGGTCCCTCAGCGCGGCCTCTATGCGTGCCAGGGTCGGAAAGTGTGGCAGGCTTGCCACGTTGTCGCCACCAGAGGGGGTGCGCAGAGAGTGGTCCCTCAGCGCGGCCTCTATGCGTGCCAGGGTCGGACAGCGTGGCAGGCGTTGCACTTTCTCGACAGCAGAGGGGGTGCGCAGGGGGTTGGTCCCTCGACGCTGGCCCTATGCGTGCCAGGGTCGGAAAGCGTGGCGGGCGTTGCATTTTCTCTACGCACGAGGGGGTGCGCAGAGAGTGGTCCCTCAGCGCGGTCTCTGTGCGTGCCAGGGTCGGAAAGTGTGGCACGTGTGGCGAGGGGGTGCGCAGAGATTGGTCCCTCAGCGCGGCCTCTATGCGTGCCAGGGTCGGACAGCGTGGCAGGCGTGGCACTTTGTCGCCACCAGAGGGGGTGCGCGGGGGGTGGTCCCTCAGCGCGGCCTCTATGCGTGCCAGGGTCGGACAGCGTGGCAGGAGTGGCACTTTGTCGCAACCAGAGGGGGTGCGCGGGGGGTGGTCCCTCAGCGCGGCCCCTATGCGTTTCAGGATCGGAGAGTCTGGCAGGCGTGCCACTTTGTCGCCACCAGGGGGGGTGCGCAGAGAGTGGTCCCTCAGCGCGGCCTCTATGCATGCCAGGGTCGGACAGCGTGGCAGGCGTTGCATTTTCTCGACGCCAGAGGGGTGCGCAGGGGGGGGGGTCCGCCACGGTGCGTGACAGGGCCAGACAGCATGGCATGCATGGCGGCCGGCTCGAATGCTGCAGGTGCTGTCTTGCCGCCCGCGCCGCTCATGCCGCCCAAATGTCCCATTGACGCACTGTCGCCTCCGTGTTTGAATATCAAGAATTCCATGGCTGTCGCAGGTGTCGAGGTTAGCATTGTGAACTTGCGCAGTTGCGGGGCGGCAAACACATAAGATTAAAATTAAGTATATGGGGTTGCTCGGTAGCGTCAATATATACCTATTGTTCGTGTCATCGCGCGTCGTAGTCTTTTTAATAGTATTCGTAGTATTTGTATGACTACGACTCGTGCTATCATTATTAGTCATGTTCGCAACTTTCTGTTTCAACGAATGATCCGGAAAAAGCCATGGTAAAGATTATTGTGTTGTTAGCATTGCTAGTATTCCCCATATCCTAAGGATGGGGTTCTGACTATTACTGTGACCGCGCCGACTCTTTCCTCACCCCTCCTCCTCCTCCTCCTCCTCCTCCTCCTCCTCCTCCTCCTCCTCCTCCTCCTCCATCTCTTCCTCCTCCTCACTCAGAGTTACTCATATTCCGGATCAATACTCTTGTAATGATATGATGACGATGGTACCAACAATGATGCTGTTGTTAATGATGATGATGATGATGATGATGATGATGATGATGCTGATGATGATGATTCCGATGATGATTATGATGTTGATGTGTCATCGTCTCACTCAAATTCACACGCTCGACGATGATGACGAGGACGATGATGATGATGATCATGATGATTATAATGATTATGATGATGATAATGACGATGGTGATGCTGATAACGATAATGATGATGCTAATGATTATGATTACGGTGATGATGCTGATGATGCTGATGATGATGATAAGGATGAGCAGGTTGATGATGATGGCGACAATGAATGATGATAATGATGATGATGATGATGATGATGATGATGATGATGATGATGATGATGATGATGATGATGACGATGATGATGATGACGATGACGATGACGATGACGATGACGATGACGATGACGATGACTGTGACGATGACAATGACAATGATGATCATGAGGTGGATTATGACAACGATGACAATGATGGTGTTGATGATGGTGATGAATGGTGATGATGGTGATGATGATGATGATGACGATGACGATGACGATGAGGATGACGATGACGACAATGATGATGATCGTCATGATGATCTACGTCTTGGCCAGGCGTTGGTTTCAGTGTACCCAAGGGGGGGCCGCAAGGGGGTATCTCACTACTCCGTTCGCCTCCAGAGTGCGGGGATATCTCGAGCAGTGTGCCTGTTTGCGGCCGCAACATGTTCAGCACACCCAAAGGGGAGCCGCCAGGGGGTATCTCACTCCTCCGTGCGCGCCCGGTTAGCGTGGATGTCTCGATCGGTTTGCCTGCTTGCAGCTGCAACATCCTCCGCTTTCGGAGCAGATTTGGAGGATGTCTCGGGCGGGGGGGGGCGCTGGCTTTCGCACCCCAAGGGGCCGAGATTGCGAGAATGTCTCAAACGCTTTGCCTGCTTTGCTGGCCAGGCTCCTCTGCGTTCAGAGCAGAGTCCGAGGATGTCTCGGGCGAGGCGCTGGTTCCAGCACTCCCAATGGGGAGCCGCGAGGGGGGCATCTCACTCCTCCGTTCGCGCCCAGACTGCGTGGTTGTCTCGATCGATTCGCCTGTTTGCGGCCGCAACATCCTCCGCTTTCGGAGCAGATGTTGAGGCTGTTTCGGGCGAGGCGCTGGGTTGTCGCACCCCAGCGGGGAAGCGGGGGGGAGATTCCGAGGACGTCTCAAGCGGTGTGCTTGTTTTGGCGGCCAGGCTTGTCTGCGTTCAAATCGAATCCTTCCTGTTCTACGTATGTCCATATAAATTGTCCGTCCCGTGTGGTTCCAATGCTACGTGCTTTACGTATGTGCCCCTCCCCGTTGGCTCCAGCCCGATGTGTGTGACGCATTTTCCTATAGTGGCCTCTCCTGGGGCCCGAATCCTCCGAAAGAGGCCCCAGGAGGCTCCAGGAAGCTCCACGAGGCACCAGGAGGCACGAGGAGGCACGAGGAGGTACCAGGAGGCCCCAGGAGGCCCCAGGAGGCTTCAAGAGGTTCCAGGAGGCCCCAGGAGGCCCCAGGAGGCCACAGGAGTTGTTCCAATCCTGTGTTTTGCGCATGTTCCTATAAAGTGGGCTTCTCCTTGGGTGCGAATCCTTCGGGTGTCACATCTGGGTTGCCCTTTTCGTGTGGCCGCAATCCTATGCGTTTTCCTCAAATTCCTATGGAGTGGGCCTCTCCTGGGACACGAATCCGTTATGTTTTACGTATAATCCTATAGATTGCCCCTCTCTTGCGGTTCCAATCCCAAGTGTTTTACGCATGCTC